CTCACAGTGCAAAGAGCAAAGATTTATACTGCTGAGGTCTTCTTCAAGCAAAAATATGAGATCATCTCGTAGACTTGTAGACCTAATAGGAATGTTTCAAAAACAAAAATATATAAAACAAAATAAGATGTAACCACTTGTTTGTGACCCTGAAGATTGAGCACCAAGCCAAACTCTTAAAAGTGTTTTACTTACCTGCCAATATTAGCTTTAGATCTTAGACAATCGAGACAGGTCTCGTCAGGGTCAACACCATGGCATGTGCATCCCTATAAATCAAAATGTTTCAATTGATGCATGACAATTTGTATTTTGACCACTGAAATCAACCTTCAAGGATAGAGTCTGTTACCAGTGACAAATACAGTCCTTGAACTTCACACAACAACATTTTTAACAAGGAAGTCACTTTGCATTGTTTGATGTAGAGTTTTTTAGGTGCAAAATGTAAGATGCTTACATAAGGTTTCCACATGGACCCCCAAAAAATAAAAACTGTGGAAGACACTCAATATCTGATAACAAATTAGAAAGACATTTCGAGCCACACAACTAGGTAAATGCCATACAGGGAATTGCAATCCAATTTTAAAGTGAGAAACAAAGTAATTCAATTTGCTGTGAGCACTTACCCTAACTGCATCACAGAAGGCACAGAATTCACCATACCCTTTCCCACCAACAGCAAAGTCTAGATCATCGCCCCTTTGCAGTAAAAGCAGTAAGGCTTTGTAATCAAGGGTAACTGCAATTTTTTTTAATCAAGAGAAGTGATAAGAATTAACTGAAAAGCTGACATCCATGTATGAATTGAGTAATAATTATAATAATGATCTCACATTAATTGTGTATAGGACGTGTTTGCCTTTGGAACAACTGAAAGGACTTTTGACTGTGATTAAATCTACTTCAGTCAGTACAAAAACTAACATCCACCTCCTTTAAGAAGTGTGAGGGGTTTTATTCTGAGTAGTGTGCCATTTTGAACAACATGTTGCAAGTCCCTGGCTATAAGGCTCATGCATATCCACCTACCAGTGAAATTGATGTGGCACTTTTTCCCATCAACAGTAATTCCACCTTTTTTAATATCACACTTCTGGACATTCAAATTGGATATCAGTTGTTTGAGTTGTTCCCTAGAATAATTATAATAAACATAAGCAAGAGAACACAGTAAAAAATTTGCTCTTACAAACTAATGTAAAATCATCAACAATTTTCTAAGAAATTCTCTTATGAATTTAAACCTTTTATCAATAGTGATCAGATTTTTACTGACCAAAAATCATTGATGACGTCTTATGGCTGCAAGCACCAGTAAGTCTGTTATGATATTTATTGAGAGGTAGTAATATGGGAATAACCACTTAAAAACTTATATTTCAGTAATAACTTACCCACAAGGCAAACAATGCCTTACTTGATAACTACTTTGTGAAGTATTTACTGGACAAATATTTACCTCCAAGAGGACGTCCATCCAGTTTTATATTAAACTCCACTGTATCAGTATCTGGTGAGAACAGGCGTTGTTCTCATATGGCCCATACTATTACTGACACAAGGTCCACACCATAGGAATGGAAATCTGTAGGCATCTTTTGGATGGACAGCGTTTTGTGTACAACCTTAAAAACTAGCTTTTTAACTGCCCGAATATCATTTTTTGACAAGAGAATAGCAGTGTCACTGGTGCGCTACAAGCAAACAAAATGCTGTTTACATACAAATATTTTAAAATCAGCACAGTTACATAATCAATTTGTAAAAGTCCTTTGTTGTCCAAGCTTGTTAGTTTAAGATGGCAGGATGTTGGCCTTAACTTGTTCTTCATTTGTGCTTGTGGACCAAGATGAAGTTCAGGTCCATAAACTTACATAAAATTGGCCAATACCCTGGCATTTTGACCCAATACTTGACTTGAAACCTTGAACTGATATGAAACACTGTCTTTTCCACTTTCACTATTGTCAACAGTGATCATTTTATGGGGATCATACAATGATTTGGACTTATGGATGGGAATTACTTTTGGAGCTACAGCAAATTCTTCAAGCAGAAAATCTGTACACCGATTTGACATACCCACTTCTATTGCTTGCCATAGAAGTATAGCTACACTGCAGTTGTGATTTAGATAACTTATTTCCTGCTAACTACGAAATAAGACTTTGGTGGAAGGTTGAGAGGTGTGGTTATCTGGAATCACCTGGGATCATCTTGGTGGTCTTTCTTATCTTCTTACCATATAAAATTTTTGGTCTTGTGATTTTAGCTACTTGCCCATAAGATTAAAATCAGGATTCAAATTTTTGGGAACCATGAAATTCTTTTGGGGGGGGAGCCTTTAAACTTTTCATAAAGTTATAAAAAGTTATTATACTCTGAACATAATACCCTGAGGTTATAAGGTCAAACTAACCCCACTTCTTCCAAGCTGAGTGAGATTAAGAAGAGTTTGCCATACAGCATCTGGTAATTTTGCTTGCAATTTAAAATAGAGCAAGACCCAATCAGGCATACACATACTCTTCAACAGCTCTTGATAGGTGGTCGGTAAGAGGAGATCTGTTACTCCTTTCTTTACTCCATGAGCATCCATGACTAAATTGACCACTTCTGATATGGTTTCTGAGACCTTTGCCTTCTCTGCATCAATGCCATTAAATAATAATAATATACAGGCAAGGGTCTCATGATACTTTTCCAATACACCATCTAACTCGGACTTTACTTTCCTGCATTCACTGACAACTTTTCTCTTCTTTAAAGCGGAACCTAGAGTTGGATTGTTTAATGTTTTTTCAATAACACTGCTGTTGGTGGTATTGGTACTGCAGGGGCTGCTGGTGCTGCAGAGGCTACTGGTGCTGAATGGGCTGCTGATACTCCAGGGGCTACTGATGCTGCTTGGGCTGCTGGTGCTGCAGGGGCTACTGGTGCTGTAGGGGCCACTGATGCTATAAGGGCCACTGGTGCTGCATGGGCTGCTGAAACTGCTGATGTCTCTGCTGTCCCTGTAGCACTCGTTATTTAAAGAAGAAGAAGGCATTGTTTCAAGAGCAGCACTGGAAATGTCATCTGTACATAGGGGCAGAAGGAATATTAGATGTTGTTAGTAATTGGATTAATTCAATAACCAAGAGCATAGATATCAGTGGCCTGCATATTCCAAAAATATATATTTATTTAGTGGTGGAGTGAAATATGCATGTATTTGTGGAGTTGTAAAACGGCTTTGCACTTAGCCTCTAGCATCTTCATATTATTGTACTTATTAGCAATGTGACGTTCAGTTCCATCTTTTCTTTTAACTAGTTCCTTATTGGAAGAGAAAGAAGGAAGACTATTATTCCTACAGCAGTTCCATAAATGTAGCTTGCCTAAAACGATTAAGTAGTTGAACTGAGGGCATTTAGTATCTATGACATCAACTAGAATAGTCTTTAACTTGAGTTTCCTTTGTTCTTTGGCTATGGCGACCCAATACGATTCAATATCTTCCCATAATGCACGTGAGTAAACACAGTAAAAGAATATATGATCAATTGTTTTTGCACCAATATTGCAAAAGGTGCAAATATCGCTTTGTATTAAACCTATCTTAGCTAAGTGGGAATTTGTGAATAAAACGTAATTCAGTATTTTAAACTGAAAACATTGCACATATGTTTCACGTGGCTCTACAAAATTCCAGTAAATATCTCACTTGATTTTCTTATCGTAACACCAGTGTCTCTTTCTTGGGTAGTTAGTATGCTCTGGTTTGAAAAATAAAGACAAAACATAATATATGCCCAAGATTGGATACTGCCAAAAACCAATGAGAGATTGCAAGGTCAGTGAGTTTTATTGAACACAACATGCAACAATCATAATAAAAAACATCCATAGGGCTCGTAGTGGCGTAACCGTAACTTGTGATGGTTAAAAGTTCCAGTACGTCTCCACCATCATTACCATCGTAATAGATTGAGGGATTCCTAGTTTAAGTAAAACAAATGCTCAAAGTTTAAGCAGATAAAACGTGTCAGTTTAAGAACTGAACAGTCAAGAAGCGTCAACATATCAGGGGAGGAAATTCGTGTAACAAAGCAATCAGTAGGCACCAGAGTAGGACCAATGAAAAATACAGATTTGAGCTTACAACAAATCTTCGTCACAACTTCTGCAAGGTGCAGGGTTGTAACAAATTACTAAATAGAAGATGGTAGAGGTTATTACTATTAGTTGGCTCACCCCAACGCATCTTGAATTGTCTACTGTCAAAACAACGATGTCTCCGGAGGGTTTGCCCAACTTCATGGAGATATGGTGTTGTTGCCTCTGAAAGAAGTTCAGTGAGCATCATCAGGTCACTAAATTGATTTTGTTGACAAATTTTTTAAACTTTGTGAAGGTTGGTTCTTGAGTCGCTTATTACTTTTCAATGATAAAAAATGGGGATCACCATGCTGGTGTTTCACTTACTTGTAATTAAGCCCAGATAAGGGGTGTTTTCAAGACGCTACAGGGTTTCTATGGTAACCTGTTGTGTCAAAAGCAAGTCTCATTCATTTGTTCACCAATGATTAGGCATTTCTTTGATACCCTTTTAAAGGTTATAACGTATATAGGTTGGAAGTTGGGATAAATCAAAATAATAGCACTTGAAAATGCTGGAAACCTGAAGCAGCCACCTCAATTTGACTTAAGTACGATTACTCTAATTTAGCCTTCCTGTTGTCCTATTTTATCCAAACCTTCGTTTAATGTTATATCAAGACTTCAAGAGAAACTTTTGCCATACATAACTCACCCTGAGCTTAAATCTTACCTAGATACAGCTGTTTACGCTTACATGCAAAATATAGTAAATAATGCAAAATATAGTAAATAATGCAAAAAAATAATAATTAAGTCTTAATAGCACTGCGTAGAGAATTTGAGACCCTTGCTGTGACTCAGACAAACAAACAGCCTCTCCTGGCATTTCTGTAAAGGCAGCATGTGAAAATATGTCGCTTGCGAGTACTTCTGTTTGCCCTTTAAAGGTTCTCTCTGAAGTCGACAGCATTCTAGGTTCAAAATTTGAAAAAGATCTAGAAAATTATACTGTGGAACAACTGAGAAGGTTGTTAAAGGAGGATTAAAACAGAGCAGAAAAATGAGAGGAGCTTTTGGAACATGTTAGAGACTGCATTAGAAGTGGAGATTACTGCACTCTTGATCCAGGTATTGATGATGGCAGATGGTTCATTGCAAAGGCCATTAAGGCACGTAATGATTTGAAAGGAAATTACAAATTGTTTCAGGTTCCACTCATACCAACAGTTGGCTGGCATGCTTTTCCGTCCCAGAACATTCCATCACTGTTCAACTACGAGCAAACCTATTACTATGCTCTAGAATCTATTCAACATTTCAGCAGGGAAGACCAAGACAACAGACTTGGCTACATGACAGATAAGCCAGTGAAAAACAGTATAAAAAACGGGGATTCTGGATTTGTTGTTTTAGTTTTATCTGTGAATAGTGGAGCTGTCATACATGCCTCATGTGAACCATGCAGAGCTTCGTCCTTGGGTCGCTGTAGTCATATCGTTGGTGTCCTATTCTTGATCCTGGATCACATTAAGAAGCATGGGCTGATTTAGTTGAGATCTTGGACGAGTCAAGAGTGTTCCTGGAAAAAAGGGAAAAAGAGGAACAAAAATCTGTGCTTGGTATCCAACACTAAGTATCAAAGCAAGCATGAGCAAAGCACAGCGCTGGTCATTGATTTTGATCCAAAACCTGTGGAGCACCGTCAAGTTTCACTGGAGCAAATCAATCGATTAGTGTCATATGGGTGACATTTTGCAGAACAGTAGTAATAGGTTATCAATATGGGAAACACAGCTCAAATCTACCCACGAAAATTTTGATCTTAAAGACCCTAGCTGCTTGCAAGAAAAAGTCAAATTCTCTGCAAGAACCTCACGCCAGCCTCTGTCATGGAAATTCCAGGCACTCAAAGTGCGACAAAGAAATGATTCTTAGAAAGATGGTGCCAACTAAGAGCGTCCAAATGTCTACCAGCCTTCAAAGCTGGTTAACTTGTAGTTCAAGCAGAGCAAAATGGTGCTTCAGAAGCATTCAACTTTATTTCCTGCAATATTTGGGGAATAGACTCTGAACTGTTTCAGTCAAACTGGATGCTTTATGGCCTAGAAGGTGAGTCAAGCGCAATCCTCAAACACAAGGAAGAAACTTCAAACAAAGTGTGTTGTTCTGGATTATGGGTAGACCCCAAGCTGCCCTTTCTTACCTGTTCACCAGACAGCCTTGTGGGTAAGGATACTGTTACTAAGATCAAGTCCTTGAAGATTTTCAAACAGTATTCTGTACAAGCTGTCACTTTGCTAACCTCCACTATTCTCAAGGAAGTCCTGAGTAAGCAGTGTTTTTGTGTAAAAGATGGGAAATGTACATTGAAGTGTACCCACATCCTCCTAGTGACAGGCAGGAAGTTCTGTGGCTGTATCTCATATTCAGCAAGTGGAGAGGATTCAGTGGAGAGGATTGCAAGAGACCAACCCCTCATTGCAAAAATCTCAGAATTTCTCACAACATTCTGGATGAGAGTGGTAGCTCCCAAGATTTTTGGAATGCGTATCTCAGGGATCTTCTGCCTTTCATTTTGCCACAACTGAATCCAGATGCCATAGACAACATGGGTGCAGTGAACAATGATATATTTCCATCAGCTTCACCTGGTAATAACAGTAGGCCCTTATATCCCTTGGGAGAACACAAGGTTGTATAGTAAATCCCTCTCATGCTGACAGCCCTTAAACCTGAGAGGAAATTTATGCTGCAGATGCCTTGTTAAATGTTTCGAATAATCCAATGCACTACATGTCTTCTGTCTCCCATTATCAAGACCATGGTCTCACCTTTTTCCCTTGGGGTGGAGTAACAAGTGCTGGAATATCACTGACCAACACTTGTCCTCTGGATAACTGGATCATGATATTTCAGACCCTTGTTCACTCACGTAGAGTAAACTTGGTAGACCTTCTGGAGTCCGGCGATACCATTGCAAGGGTACTTCAGCTTGTTGTCTGTGGCCTTCATGCAGATGCTAAGCTGCTGGTAATTCGGTGTCTTAGACTACAACCTCAAGCTACATCTGGGGTCTTGGATTTATGTAGGAATGAAGGTGACTTTTTCATTAAGCTCTTGAATCCCTACCTGATGAGCACCACCACCTCAACCTGCTTCTCAGTAACCTACCCTAGTCCAGTGCAGACAGTTCACTCGACATCTCTGATACTGCCCCTGCCAACCACCAATATCAATGGGGAGAACACCGTCCTCAATTCCCTTAAATGTTGGCTTTACTTAGATGATTCTCTTTGTGGGAGGAAATTTGTCAGCAAGCCATCAGAGGAAGTTTCCTTTTATGAGGACTTAACTTTGAATGAACATGGTAACACCTACACATCGTGGCACTGGCATGAGGGTCAGTGCCCCATGTATGATGCTAAATTTGAAATCATTTCTCCTCTTTTCTATTGATCTTCTTAGTAGAGGGGGGGGGGCAGCTCTAACACTGGCCTAAGTACCTTTGTTGATTTCTTTTTTTGGAAAAAATTATTCTCTTTTTGGTGTAACACTTTGGAATGGTGGTCACTGCATTTGCACTTTCCAGTTCAGCAATGTCTGGTTTATGAATGATGGTTAAATGGAACATGCAAGGACAGTTTTGTGGAGTCAGCTTTTCTCCAGTGGTTTTCCAAGAGCCACCAGGTTATTCAGTATAATAATAATAATAAGGACTTTATTTATAGAGGGGGACACGTAACAGCTGAAAAGCTGACAAACCTGTGGCCCTCTAACTAGATTATACAGCATTACAAAATAATACTAATAAATAGATAAATATACAAATAATTACAAAATTCTATGATAGAAATAGCAGGATATATTAAAAATATTCAGAAAGATAAAATTAATTTATAAAAAATTAAAATTAGATAATGTGCTATTGCTTAATATTGTTTCAAAGTTGTCCAGGTTTCTATATGAGCTTATAAAATACTTTTTCACAGCTGTTTTGAATAGTTTTATACTAGGCTTATTTTTGATATTATGGGGAAGGCTGTTCCATAACTTAACTGCGTCAACACTGAATGCCTTGCCACCATCGTTATTTCTTAGGTATTTGGGACACACTAAATTTAAATTGCCATGTCTAGTAGACCTATTGTGTACAGAACTGTTCGTCTTGAGCAAGTCTCTGATGTAAATCGGAACATCGCCTTTAAGGCTCTTAAAAATCATTGTACACTTATTTAGTTTGATTTCATCAAAAAAAGGCAACCAGCCTAGTTTACTAAAGTTTATAACACTTCTAGAATAAGAGTCAACTCCAAGAATTACTCGCTTACTAATTACTTATTAGTATGCTATTGAGCTTACTGTACTTAGGCTATGTAATGGCAGATTTGTGTTACCCTTCTGAGGCTGTCCAGTACTGTGCAAATCTATGGTTTTGTTAAACACACAGCCCTTTGTCTTTCTATTTAAAGAGAGTTCATGCCACAAAACCTTCATAAACATTTTGATGTCATTAGTTTTAAGTCAGATTCTAGCATGCATTTAGGGGTATCTATATGACCAGTACTCCTGAGTCAGAATCACTCTAAGAAATAATTTAATGAAATTAAATTCGTGCCTTTCATCATCGTTATTTGGTGCTAATTGAGATGGACAAGTAGCCGAGAAAGGGGGAGTGAAAACCAACAATTCTCCTTGAAAACACAAGGGAGTATTCTAAACCACCAGGGTTTTGGAGAGAAAATTGATAAAGTACACATCTGGTTTTGTTCTTTTGTTGCAGTGAAATAATTGTGTTATTGCACCTGATAGTTTTCAACCTTTCTTTTTTATTTTTGTCTTTTGAGTGATCTCGCAAAGAGAATGAAACAAACTTCAATAAAATAGCATGAGATCTGGTACATGTACACAAAATTTCTTCTAGTTGATTTCTCCTTTTTTCCGTCTACAATGATGATAATAATATTTATAAATCTTCTTTGATTCTAGTGTGTTAAATCACTTGAGTGGTCCTGTAATTCAGGAATAACAAAACAAGGAAAACAAGTCAATAAATGTTCCCCCAGGATTTGAAATATACATATATGAAAAACATGCACTTCTACAAATAAAAAAATCCCTCTTAAACATGTAAGACTTTGGTTTTCAGTTTCCTTCCTCACAATATGACTAAGTAATGCTGTTAGAACAGCTTAATCTATTTACAGAGAGTTTCCTGAAAGTTTACTAGACATGCAGCAACAACTACCAATTGAGTTGAAAGGGGGGCAAGAGATGATGGTAATTTGCTCTCAACAAGCCTAAACTGTTTGAGGCGTTCATTGAAATGCTCAACATGGGTCCTTGCTTTGGCAATGCGCCATGTTTCCAACTCCTCTGCTGCAGTTAAACTAGTTCTTCCTTTTAAGGACGGTATCGTAAGTGTCACTTGTCTGGGGTTTAACAGTCCTCTACCCTAAGTCCACCATCTGCCATTACCACATCACCAGGATGGAGATACCTCAAATTACCACACTCTTTAAAAATCTGTACATCGTTAATATCACCCTCAAACAAATCCGAGACAAAACATGCATCACTGTTTGGGGTTACTGCAATCAGGCACTTTAAAATATTACAATGTGTATAAGAAGAGAAAGTATTACCCTGCCTAGCAAAATTCCTTCAACACTCAATTTTAAATTCAGTACAATCAACAGTGCAGTATATATTTTGCATTGCCTTAAAACCTTTGGAATGAAACAACTCAAGTGAGCCCTTTCAGGGAACATCGTAGTTTGCATATCTCTAAATATTTTGAACAGCAGCTGAATGAAATTTGTGAAAATCTTACGAGCCAGGGTTTCTAAATCCTTGTCTCAATCGCACAAGGCAGATAAACAGTTATTCTCATGGAGTGAACTGTGACTCAGGGCCATTAATTGATTTCATTGTGTCAACAGATTCTCCAAAGTTCCAATAGTTAATCCTCTCCATTGGGCAAACATCATTTAAGGAGCTGTATAAGACTTCAAACTGGGAGGGTGTGAGACCAATAGAATGTTTCATTAAACCAGGGTCTTCCTGGATAACTACATTAGACAAGCTACTCATGATTTTTGATTTCTGGTCTTTCACTGTGGAAGCTTCATTCTTCAAGAATATTGTTTCTACTTTTGCTGACAAAATATACTTTGTAAACACGGTTTGCTTTCCCTCATCCAACACAATTTTCCCTGTAACAGGGCTCTCGTAAACTGGCAGAATAGTTGCATTATCCTCTAATTAGTCATTTAGAGGATTAAAATCACTTAATTCTTCACATAGGTCTTGTTTGCTGACTATTTTATCTCTCTTTGTGGGAATTAATTGCTTCTCCCTTGATAAAGGTGCTTTCCTTTTCATAGATACACAGCTCACTTTCGCTGGACTAAAATTCGCCTTCAGTGGATTGGGAAACTCTTCACTTGGTCCCTCTTCTCCAGGCCAGAGGAGGTTACATATGTATGTGTTCCTTTTTTTCTTTTCTTTTTTTTTTTTTTTTTACAATACAATATGAAACACCACTTACACT